ATCTATCTATCTATCTATCTATCTATCTATCTATCTATCTATCTATCATCTATCTATCATCTATCTATCCCACCTTTATTTTTACAAATAAGATGGCAAACATATCCGACATACCTTTTTCTCCTATTTTCCCACAACAATCCTGTGAGGTGAGTTCAGCTGAGACAGCGTGACCGGCCTAAAGTTATCCAGACAGCTTTCATGGCTAAGGCAGGACTAGAACTCCCAGCCTCCTGTTGATTGGCCCAAAGTCACCCAGCTGGCTTTCCTGGCTAAGGTGGGACTAGAACTCACAGTCTCCCACTTTCTATCCTGGACCACATGGACCATCTTCCACTACGTGGGTTCCCATGACACAGTCATCGGAATTGTGGTCTTAGTAACTGTGGTACCTGATTGATTCACAGCTGTGCTTTATATATTTGAAGGATGAGGAACAACTATTTTTTCATTGCAGATTCTGATTTCTGTGTTTTAGTCTCTGGTTCATCCGTATTTTGTGCTGCTTGGACAAAAAGTGGTTTTATCCATTACTGGTGGAGCCCTGTGACCTGTTAATATTGGTGCTCTGGCAAGGATCACACCAACAAGATCCTGCTGGCTTTGACATCTACTGCTCTTAATGTAATTAGTTCATTCATCATCTCATTTGTTGGTACTATTTTAGGCTGTTTTGACTCTTGCTATCACAATAACATACACATTGCCTCCTAATAGGCTGAGTTTCAGCCTGAATTAAAGCTTTCCTAAACTTACCCATCCCAATATGAAGTCCTCCCGTCAGTGTTTAGAAGATAGATAGAGCCCTTGGTGCTCTCTGAGCTTGATTATTTGCAGACATTTTGCTACCCAACTAGATAACATCATCAGTGATGGTCTATGTGGGGGTGTGCTCCTTGTTTATACAGTAGCTTACACTGCCAATGTTGGTGGGAAGTTGGTTTTTTCCTTGATTTGGCTATTTACTGCTTGATGTTTTCCTGAGTTGGTATTTCTATCAACAGGCACATAGAGATAAGCGACATTTACACACCATTCAAAACAACTAGGAAAAGGGAGATTTAGGGGAACACCAGCAGGTGAACTTTTATCAGTCGTGTGAATGGAGCATGGGAGCACAAGTCCACTCCACTTGTGCAAGTGCCTGTTGCTTGCGCGATTAGAGCTTTGGGTGCAAGCACAAGCAGCCTCATTCTGCACACGAAGCGCCATTCACATGATTCACAAATCGAGCTTGTGAATGCACAGGTTCACTTGCCATTCACACATGACAACCCCACCCCCACTGGAAGGTTGGGGGCTGCTGCTTTACAGCCCTTTCTAAGCGGTTTACAGAATCAGCCTCTTGCTCCCAACAATCTGGGTCCTCATTTTACCCACCTCGGAAGGATGGAAGGCT